CCACCAGACCCCGCTACACTCCCTGAGCCGGGGAGAGAACCCAGGAGTCCTGGCACCCAGCCCCCCTGCTCTAACCACCAGACCCCGCTACACTCCCTGAGCCGGGGAGAGAACCCAGGAGTCCTGGCACCCAGCCCCCCTGCTCTAACCACCAGACCCCACTCCCCTCCCAGAGCCAGGGAGAGAACCCAGGAGTCCCGGCTCCCAGCCCCTCTGCTCTGACCACCAGACCCCGCTACCCTCCCAGAGCCAGGGAGAACACCCAGGAGTCCTGGCTCCCAGCCCCTCTGCTCTGACAACCAGACCCCGCTACCCTCCCAGAGCCAGGGAGAGAACCCAGGAGTCCCGGCTCCCAGCCCCTCTGCTCTGACCACCAGACCCCGCTACCCTCCCAGAGCCGGGGAGAGAACCCAGGAGTCCTGGCTCCCAGCCCCCCTGCTCTAACCACCAGATCCCGCTCCCCTCCCAGAGCCAGGGAGAACACCCAGGAGTCCTGGCTCCCAGCCCCTCTGCTCTGACAACCAGACCCCACTCCCCTCCCAGAGCCAGGGAGAGAACCCAGGAGTCCTGGCTCCCAGCCCCTCTGCTCTGACCACCAGACCCCACTCCCCTCCCAGAGCCAGGGAGAGAACCCAGGAGTCCTGGCGCCCAGCCCCACCCCCCTGGCTCTAACCCCTAGGCCCCTTGGCTAGAACCCAGGCGTCCGGCCCCCTTACCTGCCCCCCCTGGGCGTGGAAGGGCCCCAGGGCTTTGTGCAGCCGCTTGATCTCCTTGACGGGCCCAGTGATGAGGGAGGTGCCCGTGTCCACAATGGCCTGGCAGCCCCCCCGGCAGAGAGCCGGCCCCTTGCGCCCGTGCCGCCCCCGGGACTTCTTCACCCGGATCCTGCGGAGAGGGGAGGCCGGGCGGGGGTCAAGGGGAGGAGGGGGGTTCAGGGGGTGGGAGGGATTTGGGGGCTGGATGGGGGTTCAAGGGTGGGCTTTGGGGGGTTGAGTGTGGGGGTCCGGGCCTGGTTTTTGGGACCGAGCCGGGGGCCAGGGGTGGTTTGGGGGGGCTAGGAGTGGTTTGGGGGGCAGGGGGCTCTGGGATCAGTGGTCCCAGGGGGGTTGGGTGGACCTCCAGGAGTAATTCTGGGGGGTTGGGGGCATCGGGGGGGAGGGTCAGGGGAGCTGTCTGTTGGGTGGGGGTCAAGTGGCCTGTGAGTCAGGTGAGGGTCCAGGGCTGTACTGAGGGCTGGGTGGGGGGGGTGTCTGGGGGTTGGGTGGGGGTCCAGAGGGATTGGGGGACCCTGGAGGGTTCTGGGAGTCAGGTGGGGGTCCAGGGCATTGGGGAGGGTCCAGAGGCTCAGGGGTGGGGGGTGTCAAAAGGCCCGTGGGGCGGTTCTGGGCCCCGGGAGGGGTCCTTGGGGGGTCCAAAGGGTTGGGGAGGTCTGAGGAGGGATCTGAGGGTCAGGTGGAGGCCCAGGGGGTCAGGGGGGATCCAAGGCTCGGGGGGGGGGGTACTGAGGACTGGCAGGGGTCTCAGGGGGGTCCAGAGAGTTGGGGAGGTCTGGGAGGTTCTGGGGGGCTGCGGAGGCTTTAGGGGGTTGTGGGGGGCTGCGGAGGCTTTAGGGGGTTCTGGGGGGCTGCGGAGGCTTTAGGAGGGTCCGGGGGGTACTCACTTGTCCACCTTGATCTGCCAGTAGGCCTTGCGGGACACGGACACATAATGCAGCTCCCCCTCGTACAGCCCCGGATCCATGCCCCCCAGCAGCAGCTCGCCCCCATCCTCCACCGAGCCCCTGCAAACCGGGAGTGAAAGAGAGCTTGGGGGCTGGGCCTGGGGGGCTGGGGATCTCAGGCAGGAGGGTGTGGGGGGCAGGGGGGCTGGCTGGGGTGTTGGCCAGGGGATGGGGAACTCGGGTGCTGGGGGGCTTTGGGGGGGCAGGGCCTGGGCTCCTGGGGGCATTGGGGATGGGGTGCTGGTGGGAATGAGGGTTTTGGGGATGGGGGAATGGGTTGGGCACTGGGGGTCTGGGGACACCGTGGGGGGGGGGACTCCGGGGCTGGACACCAGGGGGCTCATGGGTCCGGGCACTGGGAGTCCAGGGATACCAGGGGGCTCCAGGTGCTCCAGGGTCCAGGCACCGGGGGGCTTTGGGGTCCAGGTGCCGGGGCTCTGAGAACACCCAGGGACTCCGGGGTACAGGCGCCGGGGGGCTCTGGGGTTGAGGGACACTGGGGGGCTCTGGGGTCGAAGGGCACTGGGAGCTCAGGGGTCTGGGTGCCGGGGGGCTCTGGGGTCGAAGGGTACTGGGGGACTCAGGGGTCGGGGGGCTCTGGGGTCAAAGGGCACCGAAGGACTCAGGGGTCCGGGCACCGGGGGGCTCTGGGGTTGGGGGGCTCTGGGGTCAAAGGGCACTGGGGGGCTCAGGGGTCCAGGTGCCGGGGGTTTGACCTGCGGAGGTGGAAGGAGAAGATGTTCTGGTCCAGCAGCCCCTGCGCCATCATGCTGTCGAAGACTGGGGTGACCCCACGCACCGAGAGGACGGGGTACCCCATCCCCAGGATCCCGTCAAACTTGGTTACCGCAAACACCAGCCCTGGCAGGTCCACGGCCTCGGCGAACGTCTGGTTCTCCACCGTCAGGTTGGACACCTGGGAGCAGAGCTGGGATGGAACCCAGGAGTCCTGGCTCCCAGCCCCCCCTGCTCTAAGCACCAGACCCCACTCCCCTCCCAGAGCCAGGGAGAGAACCCAGGAGTCCTGGCTCCCAGCCCCCCCTGCTCTAAGCACCAGACCCCACTCCCCTCCCAGAGCCAGGGAGAGAACCCAGGAGTCCTGGCTCCCAGCCCCCCCTGCTCTAAGCACCAGACCCCACTCCC